CAAACTTTAGAGTACACACAGTTCATGGTAAGAGTCTAAAAGCTATGTTCACTTCCTGGCTGATGGCGGGCACACGCTCAGGTTGACAAAAGAAATGGTTTCTCAAGCATCTCAATATCAGGTCCTTCTACTTCCACCAATCCTTAGACCTAGGAAGGAACTCAGACCCAGGAAGGCAGATTCTCAGACCCTTTCTTCTTACCATCATCTCTCCAAATCCCCGATTCTCCATCTCCCCCACATAATAGGATTTCTTCTTTGGTCACCCAGATCTCAAGGAGGTATTAAAAATGAAAATGTTTTGTTAGAGCTTACAAGTAAATGAACAGATTGCTTTCCACAGACTTTTCCTCCTGTGTGCAGTATGCACAAGTAGATATGTTAACTACAAGCAGTCTGTGTTGGTAAAGAAAGGCAGAGCTGTGTCGTGCCTTTTTCCTTTCTTCCTAACTTTCTTCAGAGGATGGGAAGAAACAAGGAGCCACCTGAGTCACCAGCTTACTCCAGAGCTTTAGAACCCATTCCTTATTTGTATAATTTCCTTCAACTACAAGCAGTAGGAACTACTGCTTAGGAGAAAGAAAGCATACCTATATGAATGCCTATGTGAAAAGTACCAGGTGCATGGAAAACTCATTCTCCTTTCCACAGAAAAGTGCTGTTTTTGCACTTTGCAGGTATGTGAGTGCCAGCTTGTATGCTTACCTTTGCACTGACAGAAATTTGGAACCAGGGATGCGGTCTGGCACACATTCTCCATCTGTCCTCTTCATTCTTAGAATCGGTTGGATGTTGAGCTCAGTGTGATGTCCTTCTCAGTCCCAATTTCCCAGCATTAAGCTGTGTTTTTATGTTCTAAAATACCTGTCTGACTGTATTCCACAGTAGACACCAAATTTCATTTCTATCACCATTGAAATTTATATAGCTCAGGCCAACCAAACATGGGAAACCCTTGCTTCCCAGCTGTTGTCATATTTCCAGTGATATTAGGAATCCTGGCTTTCTGTCAGTGCAGTAACAGAATTTATGGTCATCTTGCATATGGTATTCTATGATAAGTGAATATTTTAGACATCTCCAAGGTGATGTATAAGCTTCTTCATTTGTAGAACATTCCAGTTACAATAGTCATTATAATAGAAAGTCAGAATTGTTTGTGCAATTTTCTTCCCTGAAATTATTTGAGCTCAAGGTGTTTTTACACTTACTTGGAACAAATGTATAAGGTCATTAGAAATAGCTGACACTTCCAATGTGTTCCCAGAAGTTTAGACAAAGTCCAACACTAGAACCTACCCAATGATATTAAAAGATGATGCTAGGTTTTCAGAAGCCCAAGTTATGAAGCTTTCCTGGATTAATTTCCTATTAATAACAAATATCATTAGAAACCTGTTTGCATTGGCACTACTGCAAGGCACATCTAAAAGTAGTGCTTCTCAGACTTCAGACTTCAGACCTGGAAATTTTGATAAGATAAAAAGATGAAGGATTTCAGTGAGTCTGTAGCAGAGGGTTTGTGATTCCCATATGCACCTGTGTGTGTGTGTGTATGTGTGTGTGTGTGTGTGCGCGTGCCAATCCCATGGACTAAACTCTGGGCCTGGGGTGCTATCCCTCAGTCAAGGCTGGCACTCTAATACTTAAGCCACAGTTCCACTTCTGATTTTTTTGGTGGCTCATTGGAGGTCAAAATCTTGTGGACTTTACTGCCCGGGCTGGCTTTGAACTGCAATTCTTAAATCTCAGCCTCCTAAGTAGCTAGGATTAATAGGCACAAATGATTGGCCTCTGGTAATTTCCCATTTTGAGAAGTTCTCAGGTGATCCTAAGGCTCATGTCCACAGACCACTACTGGAATAGTAAGGAACAACAAACATCTTCAACAAACCATGGAAAATATCACCTTAGAATTATGTCATCACTTATCTCATTGAAAATATTAAGATCTCACAGTCTTTTTTTTCCTCTTAAATTACGATGTCAGGAAAAAAAAGGGTTTTAAGGAAAGCAGTGTTTGTCGAGTGAAGGGAAAGAGTCCCTCTTCAGCAGGCTATAAACCAACAAATAAATCTCCAATGGCACCCATGCTAACAGGAATGTTTACAAAGCTGAGGTTCCTGATTCTCATTCTGAGGAGTTTATCCTTAGGAATGAAGTCAGGGCCCACCAGTGTGGTTTGCTCAGCCCTAACCCAGCAAGGAGGGGCAGCCTGCCAGAATGCAGAGCCAGGGCTACAGGCACAGGGCCATTGGCCAGGCAAGGGTCTGCACATTGCCAATTTCCATCACAAGCATGCCCTGAAAGCAAGCAGAAGAGAATGTGCTTTACCAGAGAAGAATCAGGGGGAAGAGGGCGGATCACAGGCTGAGATGTCAGCAATGACTTCATATCCAACATTGCACCAGTAAGGTGACCCAAGGCCCGTCTTGAGAGACCCATCTACAGCGCCAAAGCATTGTCAAGGGCAGGCAGCAAAACTAGAGATTCTGAATGCAGCACTTTGAAATTTCAAGAGAAGCCCTTCTAGTTGACCATGTGCGAATTCAGCCAATCTGTGTGCTCACCTGTGTGTGTGTGTGTGTGTGTGTGTGTGTGTGTGTGTGCGTGCGCACGCGCGCGTGCATACATGCAAGCTTAAGTACTAAACTCTACTACTTGAGTTTGAGAGAGAAAAAGGCTCTTTCATGGATTTGGGCTCCTTGCTGAAATTCTTTTTCCTGCTCAAGTCTTCCTGTAATGCCCTGCATGCCTGCACAGGAAATGCATGCACAAGCTGTCAAACACTCAGCACAAAGCCCAAGGGAGGAGATTCTGGAGGGGACCTGGACTACAAAACTGCCTTGTGAGAGGACATGGGACTCCTCTTTAAACTCTTCTCCCATAGTCTGGCCACTTTTATTTTTCCACAGCTTTTCTTTCCCTGTTAAATAAACTCACTCCATTTACCTTACCCATTTCCCCTGCTTTTAACTCTTTCATTGGCAGAGAAAAATGAACCGGCCCTTGAGACGGTAGCAAGTATGTGCTACCTTATTTTCCAGACTGAGATTTTAGAGTCAAGTACAAACCAAATGCAATTGCACAGAAACACAGAAATGATGCCATGTCAGCTCTTAATTCCTAGCAAGGAGGAGATAGCTTGTTTTGGTGCACCTACATTTCATCCTATCTAGAAAAACGATGCCTTTTAGTGAAAGCATCTTGAGATTACCTGGGGCTTAATACAGCTGAATACAGCCTAAACTTTCCTTATGACTCAGCTTCAATCACACAATGGACTTGAGAGATAGCCACAGATGGCCTTGTCACTCTAACAGTAATGCCATAACAGGACTCTTTCCCTTACTAGCAAAACTGTCTTTTTAGACACAAGAAAATAACTTCCTTCCCAGAAAATATAATGACTTTGGAATTGAATAAGGGCAAGAAAGACTGAAACAGGACTTGATTTTGGAAGGAAAAAGTTCTTTAAAACCTGGGCTTAAAAATACATATTACCCATTGGTAAAGAGAACAAGGTGTAATGAGAGAATGGAAAATGTGTTTCCAACTCAAATAAAAATAGCTACTCCCTCAACCCCTCAACTCCATGTGTGTAATTAGTCCCTTGGTTTCCTGAAATCTAATCCAAGGAAACAAAATCTCTGAAATGATTTTTTTAAAGCATGGCCCCTGGGGCAACTTCTAATTTTAGAATTGCTTTCTGTAGCCAAGGTGAATTTCAGATGAATGAACTCCATCCATCCACCCACCCATCCATCCATCCATCCATCCATCTACAATACATCTACCTATTCATCCTTATACCATTAACTCATTCAACGTTTACATAGCAACAGTCCTGTGCCAAGGACTCTGCTAGGCATAAGGCATAAAGCGGGACTGGTTTACATTCAGGGAGATTCAACTACTCCCTGTTTGGTTTGGTGGATGCCAATACATGCTTAAAAATCAATAGGGGATAAATCAGGGTTAAAATCCTTTTGTGAAGGCTAAAAGACATATTCAAGATTCTTTTGAAGATCAGCCCATCTTTAGTCAAAGTTTTAATATCAAATTTTCTTCCATGGCACTGGGCCCTAGGAAAAAGAAATTCTATTTCAATGATCAAGTTTCTGTATCTTCTAGACATGTTAGACACATACTGAATGAATGAGTGAGTGAATGCCTGAGCATACTGCTGAGTTTGGCAGACTATCCTACAGAAATACTCACTACGCGTAACTAAATTCAGAATTAACATCCGAGGGCTTGAGACAGAAATCGGTCCTTAGAAGGATGTTTAGAAGTCTTTCCACATTCCTGTCAAAGGAGCTAGGAATCTGTGGAAGACATTCATAAGTTCAGCTCACCTGGAGCTAGCACAGTTTCAGATGGCTCATTGGGAGACAGACATGATAAGGTTACTGTCTACTTTATTCTCTCTTCCCTGTGAATGGGCCCCAGATTTCAGGGGTTGAGATTTATGATTTGTTTCTGCTAGGATGATACTTTATCCTTGTTCTAGTTATTTCAGGGAATAGACAAAGCTTCATCTAGTCTGTGCTGGTATACTTTCTGAGCCTGAATAACTTATGAAAATACTTTCTCCCTTCCTTCTTTCCTTTTGTCTTCCATGCCAGTACTAGAGCTTGAACTCAGAGCCTCGATATTTTGTTCAGTTTACTACTCTGAGCAGGTGTTTTCCTACACATCTTCAGTTCCATTTTTTATTTTGCTGGAGATAGATTCGCGTGGATTTGTCTGCCCCAGCTAGCTTTCATTCTCTGTCCTCCAGATCTTAGCTTCATGAGTAGTGAGGGTTACAGGTATGAGCCACTGGCATCCAGCTGAGATTGATTTCTCACAGTGATGGAAGCTGGGAAGTTCAAAATTGAGAGATTTCATCAGGTGACAGCTCTTTTTGGGGGGGGGGTATTTTCTGAGATTTATTAGTTTTCCATCAGGTAATCTTATAGCTTCAAGATCGTCCCCTCAAAATTAAGACCCCACCACCCTCCTCCCCCCAAAGTTTAGAACTGGATCACTTGTCCCTTTCTCTTCTTATCTCCTCCCAGTTCAAAATGCTTGCATCTCTTAATGGCCAGCATCCTCTTGGATCTGCAGTTAGGCTCAACACATTCAAGCCTCAGCACAATCTTCTTGGTGGTTTTAGCCTTCTTTCGGAATATTGGCTTGGTCTGCCCACCATAGCTGCTTTGCTTCCGATCGTAGTACCTCTTCCCTTGGGCATACAGAGAATCTTTACCCTTCTTGTACTGGGTCACTTTGTGAAGCTGATGCTTGCCACATTTCTTACAGAAAGTCCTTCTGGTTTTGGGTACGTTGACCATCTTTGTAGTAGAGCTGTCGGGAGACCCGGAGACCATGACATGCCCCTCACGCAGCTCCAGGTGACAGCTTTTTTACTGCATTAACTCATGGTAGAAGGTAGAAGGATAAGAAGGAGCACACACACATGCACACAAAGATGGAGAAGGAGTGAGTAGGGAAGAGAACTAAACTCATTTCCTCAGGAACCTACCTTTGAGATAACCTATCTGGTGAAAATAGTCAGAAAAAGGACATTAACCTACTCATAAGACCAGAGTCTGAATGACCTAATTACATCTTAAAAGGTCTTACCTAATTCTCAGTGTTATCACATTAGAGATTAAGTTTCCAAACATGACTTTTTGTGATTTGCATGGAAACCATAACAACTTATTTGCTGCTTCCCCCAAAGGTAATTATTTTCTTTCTTATTGCGTATTTACATTTTAAGTCAAAATTACATATATTTATGGCTTAAAAATGAAAAGTATTCTATAAGGCTCACTTAGTATCTCAGTTTCTTCTCACCTCCTGGCAACGACCTTGAATTGTAACTATTGCTTTGTATTGTATGCTAATAACCTGTTCATTCTGTTTCTTCATAAATTTCAATTCTATATAGAAGAAAAGAACTTAGGTTTGGGGGCCTCTTTTCCTCTTCCCTTTCCCAGAAACACACACACACACACACACACACACACACACACACACACACACACACACACACACACACACACCATGCATGCAGATTCTTCCTACACAAGTATATTGGAATGTTTGTTGGGATTGGTGCACACTGATTCGCATTATTCTTAAGCTGGAAATTACTGTTCATAGCCAACCAGGTAGTGAATTATTATTACATTACTCTCAGTACGTTACATTATTACGTCTTTAGGGCTAGTAATTATTTCTTTTTAAAAATTTATTTATTTCTTATTGTAAAGGTGATGTGTAGAGGGGTTTCAGTTACATAAGTCAAGTAATGAGTACATTTCTTTTTGAACAGATTCACCTCTTCTCTTGTTTTCTTCCAAATTATTTCCTTTCAGTCAAAAACCTAAAGGGTGGTTGCTTAGTTTTCTATGTACCAATTACTAATTATTCTACATGCATTTTTGCCATACATGTAAATATCTCTGTAACACACATGCACACATGCACAATTAGAGTTGCTATTGATTCTTCTTTTTCTTTGAGCTTTTCCTCCAGACCCTTCTGCCTTTGGGCTCCAATCTAGAGTTAATGTTATTGTGATTTAGTGCTGAGGTGTTGTCCTGGGAACTCCCTTCCTCATCATTTTTGAGGATTCTCGTGGCTGATTTATGGGTTTGATTACTTGTTTCCTGGATCCAATGATTTTTTTTTAACAATTGATGTACTCCCTTGTTTTAGAGACTCTCCTCCAGTGGCCTCTTGAGCAATGGTGTGATGGAAAAAATTTTGGATCTGACTGACAATGTCTTGGTGAGGTTGGATATCAAATACCAGCTTGGCAATCATAGCCCACTGAGAATGTGGAAATGTATCATTGGGTGTCTCCCTATGTCAGATGCCTTATTGACCCACTCCAAGAAATAAACTTTTACTCCTTTGGGAAGAAGGCAGAGAATACAGTCATGGGTAGTACAGAGCAGATGAGGGAATTTAGGGTTTATATCTCTTAAACATACTTTCTAACCAATTGTTTTCAACCTTATTCACCTCCACTTCAAGAAGCATCTGGTAACACTGTTCTTACTTTTCAGATTTCTTCTTTACTTAACCTGCTACTAGCCAAGTCAATGGTCATTCCTCTGTCTGCTTTCCAACTCACAAAATTAACATGCTTCAGTTCCCAGTCATTATCTTTTTTCCAAATTTTTAAAACATATCTTTGAGTGGCTGTACAGAGGGATTTAATTAAGCATATCAAATTATGACTATAATGCATCTTGCTCACTGTGACCCCTTCCATTGCTCTCCCTCAGGTCTCCCAAATCCACACTTGCTCCTATTTATTGAGGGGTGATGCTTTTTTTTTAAACAAACAAACAAACAAATAGTGGTTTTAAAAAAGCTTTATAGTTCTTGTAACAGTTTAAAGGAGAAACAATCTACTTATTTTAGCCAAAAATCTAACTGAAGAGTTAATGTTCCAGTAAGGATAAGCTAAGAATTGGTTGTCAGTGGTCCAAAGAAGAAAAAAAAAAGAATTCTTCTCCAGTCCTACAGAGAAGTAACTTGAAGACTCTGCTTAGCTCCATAGTCAAATTGGCCTTCTTGGACTATAGTTAGTAATTTGTAGTTTTGTAATGCAAATTAAGTCTACTGATGGTCGTTACCCCTGGGAGCAGAGTTAGAGGTACAGACAAGGTAGTCACAATTCAGCTAAGCATTTGACAGACTGTATTTAAGGCTGGTCTAACTACTACAAACTTTAACTTTCTGAAAATTCACTCATACTGGGCTTTGTAAAATACATGTTTTTTTTTTTTTTTTGGAAAAGTTTTCAAGTCTCAGGGCATCCTGAAGAGATCATGTGGATTGCAGCCAGAGCCTGTAGGTCTAGAAATTGGTTAGAATGTATTTGCCAATTGAGAAATAGCTAATCTTGCTCCTGCTTCATGCAGCCTCTCGGTTCACACCACTCATCTTGTTAAATTCAGTCTTTCAACTCCAAAAAGTAAGAAGGCATCGCAGCATGAATAACTCCAAAGAACAAATGGTACTTCTGGGCAGATCCACTTACCACAAATGTATGCTGGGTAAGTAAAAAGCCTTGCTGATTCCTTCCATTCTACACCCTGTGCCCCTGCCAGTGATGAGGATAGGAGGGCTGATTGTGGTGAATTGGAAAAGTTATGTGTTACAGTGGGCAACTACCCAGCTCCAAAGTACAAGGCAGAGGAAAATCTACTCTAAATCATTAGCCCAGGCTGCCATCATGGTGGGCTGGTAGGTCAGAGAGAGATGTATTTCAGGCCAATCATTTCAATGGATTTTCTTTTCTTTTTTTTTTTTCCTTTATTAAAATTGCTGTTGTATAGGTGATGTACAGAAGGGATACAATTATATAAGTCAGGTAATGAGTACATTTCTTTTTGAAGTGTCACCCTTCCCTTTGCTCTCTCCCACTTTTTCCCTCCCGAACACCCCCCACAAGCTGTATAGTTCATTTTCAATATAGTGACTAATGAGTTCACCCTTTGTCCCACCATTTCTGTGCTCTCCTTATACCCTCCTCCACACAGATAAACCTACATACAAGACAAAAGGATTTTTTTTTGGTTGTTGTTATTTTTTTTCCTCCTTTGTGCTGTTTTTGTTTTCTATGGATTTTCTAAAATCACTTCTGGGAGAACGACTCCCCTGCAGAGACAGGAGGGGAAAAAAGCATCCTTTTTCTTCAGAAATGACTTTCAAGGGTGTGGACCAATGGAGATGAGTTATGTCTTGTACAGGGTTGAAGATTGAGCTGTCTGTACATGACTAAAGCACACACAAGTGAAGAACCTGAAGGTCCTCATCTCCACTTGCTTGTCTTTGGGCAACTGATTTCTAAACTCCATCCTCCTCTAAAATGCAGGGGATAATAAGAACTACCAGTTGCTGTGAGGAGTAGGTGAACAAAGGAGGCCGGGCACTTGAGCTGTAAGGTGTTAAGTGTACCCATGATGCACGTGGGCCCACAGTCAGCTTGGACTCATGCCCACAAAGCTCCCTGGGAAACTGTAGCTGGGAAGGTCGGGCCTCCTTTCTAGGGAAGGTATCATGGCTGCTCTCTGAGAAAGCAGAGAATGACTTAGTAAACCCAAGGGCAATGCAGAGTTGACATTAAATATTTACTAAGCATGTACAGATACCAGAAGGCAAATGGATTTATCGCCAGGAAGACTTCACTTAAGACAAGGCACTCAACATAGGACTGAGGCCCAAACACACCCTTTAATCACTGATGAGAAAGTACCTTAGGAAGCACAGTATTACCTTCCCTTCATGCCTGCCAGGGAGGAATCTTGTCCTACCACTTTCTCTCCCCTTGCTTTTCCACCCACACAGTTCACTGGCCAAGCTTTGCCTCTCTAAGATAAACAGTCTCCGTGACAGTGGATCTTGGTTTCAGCGTAGGCATGTTGCACAGAAGATACTCACACAGCCGGCATATTGTGTGGAAAGTCCCCAAGTTCACAGTTGGGGTGGAGTTTTGGCTTTTGTCTAGGCACTTTCAACTTATTTTTAACTGAGGAATATTCTCTCTCTCTCTCTCTCTCTCTCTCTGTATTGCGTAGTATTAGTAGATTAATATATTAATGCATATGGGTCAACATGTATTCACACAAAAAATAGATTATTATTTTTGCAGTTACCTTTCATTTTTTTTATTGTCTTAAGTAGTTATACTAAAGGGTTTCAATTCAACATGTCAGTTTGTGAGTACAATACCTCTTGATGTTTTTATTAATAGTAATTATCACAGAATATCATTTGGGATTTCATCAGACTCTAGGAAGAACATTCACTAACTCTGAAAATAATCAGATATATCTTCGCATAAATACCTTGAAAATTTCCACAGAAGCAAGGCATGTGGGACCCATATTTTCTGTGATGCTGCCTCTTCATCTGTGTGGCCAAAGATCTTTGTTTTGTATAGTCCTCATTTTTCAGAGCACTTTTAGGTTCACAGCAGATGGGACAGAGATAGCCCAGCTGCTTTCTGCCCCCTCCCACCCCCCACCACACACACACACACACACACACACACACACACACACACACACACACACACTTCCCCTACAGCCAACACCCCACCTCACCCCAGTGATACATTTGCCGCAGTTGATGAAGCCACACCCATCAGCGTCACCATGTCTACAGCATCCATTAGGGTTTCCTTGTGGACAAATGTAGAACGACATGTAATCATAGACTGATTTATAGTTCTTTGGGTCTGGCCAAATTCAAAGAACAGAACATGAATCAAGAGATTTTTCCTCTTCAGGTTCCATGGGCTCTATTCCCTCAGCGAAGAGACATAAAGCTGTCTCTCTGCTCAGAACATTTTCTAGTGATGTAACAAGATTCCAGCTTCTTCTGAAAGTTTCTCCCAGGTTCTCAACTGGACACTGGAACAAAGGAACGCATCGCTTCAGGAATCGAATCTGCTCTGCCATCTTTCCCTCTTACATAGTAAGTTGCTGCTGATGCTATACCTCAACTGTTTGTCCTCCGTTATGCAAGTGCCTACGCTTCTCAAGGTCAAACCTAGACACTGGAGATTTAAGTGGAACCTACCTCTGATCTGTGCCTGACTCAACTGTCATTTCTAGCTCTCTCCCATTGTTATATGGGAATTTAATTGTGAGATACAGAGAAGCCACATTTTGAGAGGTCCAATCAGGAGTCTTTATTAGAAAGCTAGTGGCTGCCTGAAGACACATGTCCCCAGAAAACTTGCAGCCTTGCAGCCTAACACTGTTAGAAAACTGAGCCATGAGGGTAGTAAAGCAAAGGAAGAGCAGAAAAACAATCCCAATAAACTGGATCAACTTCACTAGTGAGCCGAAGTGAGATGCACCGTGGCCTGAGGAGAGAAAGGAGACATGAGGCTTGGAACAAATGGCACCTGAGGGAGGCAGCTGGGGCCTAAATAGGGTCATGGTCAAGGGGCAGGGTCACAAGGAGCTGCAGAGTCTCGCGAGTTCATGGCACAGGATTGTGAGGTCCAGTAACCTATTGTCCAAGTCCCTGCCTCAAGAAATTCAGGCATACCCATCACCTGGGGGGAAGGGGCTTTACCTTCATCCACCAAGAAGACAAGATGGAGCCAGTTAAACCCAATTCATCCACCGCGTTGCCAAGATGGCGCTGGCTAGAGCCAGTCTCCTTATTTCACCATTTTCTGCCCCAAATTGGAGGGGTGGTGGTGACCCCAGCCCTGTTTGTTTCACCCCCTCCTTCTTCTTCAAAGTGTGTTCTTGTCTTTTGTAACTGTCTCATGAAGTCAGAACCCACATGCTCTTCTCCATACTCACCGTCCAGAGTCTCCTCCTCACAGCTGAAAGGTCTTCTCTTACCCTCATGGAAATGAACCATAGGTATCAGATGAGCCAAGATTCGAATTTCTCCTGTGTTAGCCATCCTTCCTTAGTATCCCAATGAATGGTGGCTGTAATGTATATTTTTGCTCTTTGAATATTAAGAAAGTTACAACTTTCTCTGTCTCTCTCACACACACAATTTATATCTGCCTGTATATATATATATATATATATATATATATATATATATATATATATATATATATATATATATGTAGTTTTTTATAGTTGTAGGACAGAAGTTTCATTATGATATTTCCATCCAGCCATACCATGTATTTAATCAGATTCACACCCATTTGTTGTATTTTTTTTTTGCATTGTCAGTCATTGTCTAGACTCTAATTCACATAAAGAATGGGTAGAGGGGCTGGGAAGGTGGCTCAGTGGTAGAGCACTTGCCTTGCATGGTCGAGGCCCTGGGTTTGATTCCTCAGCACCACATAAGAAAAAAGCAGGAAGTGGTGCTGTGGCTCAAGTGGTAGAGTGCTAGCCTTGAGCTGAAGAGCTGAGGGACAGCTCCCAGGCCCAGAGTTCAGGCCCCATGACCGGACCCAAAAAAAAGAAAAGAATGGGTAGAAATTGCACTATTTAGTTTGCAGACCAAAGCATCAAGTATGTAAGCATTTCTTTATTCTGTAAGTAGGGAAGAATCGTTCCAGATTGTCAAAGGGGTCCATTCGTCACCG